GTATGGCCATTTTCACTATATTAATCCTTTCTACCCAAGAGCAGGGGATGTCTGTCCATTTTCTGATATCATCTTCAATCTCTCTTTTCAGAGTGCTATAGTTTTCAGAGAAGTGATCTTTGATTTCTTTCATTAGGATGAGTCCTAGGCATTTCAGTTTTTACCCATACTTTTGTATTAGTGCTTATTTGATTTTTCATGTCCATCAATGTTTGTTTTATACACTTGGGTTCACTAGTATTTGGTGCATATGTATTTATGATTGCCATTTCTTACTCTTGTGCTGTTCCCTTTACAAGGAAGTAGTAGCCTTCTTTGTCTCTTAATTAGTGTTGGTTCAAAATCCATTTATCTGCAAATAGGATAGCTCCTCCTGTTTTTTTCAGGTTACTGTGTCATGGAGTATTGTTTTCCACCCTTTAACTTTCAGTCTATGACTTTCTTTTTGTTTCTGTTTTTGTTTTTGTTTGTACCAGAGATCAAACTTGGGAGCTTACACTTGCAAGGCAGGTGCCAGAACAACTGAGCTAAATCCCTGGCCCTTAGGAGTTTCTTTTGGAATTAAGTGTGTTTCTTGTATGTGGCATATTGTTCGACCTTACTTTTTGACCCATTCTGCCAGTCTATTTCTTTTCCACTGAAACCATTAACATTGTTGGTTATAGCTGATATGTTTTGACTTCTTTGTCATGACCTTTTCCTGTTGTTGGATTCTCCCTCTTTGGATTTAATTTTTTGTTTTTTCTGATGGATTCATTCTGCTGGGCTTTCAGGGACTATGATCCTCATTGTCTTTTCCTAGGATATTATTTAATAGTTTTTAGAGTGCTTGTTTGGTATTGATGAAGTTCCTCCGGTGTTCTTTGTGATGAAAGTAACTTATTTCTCCATCAGTTTTGAAAGATAGTTTTTTAGAGTACATCAATCTGTGTTGGAGGTTGTTGTCTTTCGGGGCTTGAAATACTTCACTCTGGGCTCTTCTTGACTTGAGGGTTTGTTTTGAGAAGTCTGCTGTGATACTGACAGGCTTTCCTTTGTATGTGATTTTTTTTTTTCTCTAACTGCTTGTTGTATTTTGTTCTTATGTTTGGTTTCTGGAATCTTAACTATGATATGCCTTGGTGTAGATTTTTTTTTTTTTGATCATGGCTACTTGCAGTCCTATATGCCTCACTTATCTGTATGTCAAGTACTTTTCCCCTGGTTGGGGAAATTTCTGCCATTACTTCTGTGAACAGTTTTTTTTAATGTCATTTGCACTATCTCCTGTTTCTTCATTGACTCAGATCAGTCTTAGTCTTCTTTGCATCATCTAGCATCTGCTGGATCATGGTCCCTTAGTATTTTTAAGAAATTTTTCTTTTCCTGGTTACTAATCACAGTATATATGACATTCTGTCCTCACATCGGCTCATTCTGCTGCATAAACTTTCAATGGAGTTTTTTGTTTGTTTGTTTGTTTGGTACCAGGGACCGAACTTGGGACTCTGCACTTGTGAGGCAGGCAGTGGAACCACTGAGCTAAATCCCTGGCCCTCAATGGAGTTTTTAATTTCCTGGATATCTGTTGGCATCTGTTTTATGGATACCTTTTGTTTCCTAGGCTGGGATTCCATCATGTTCCTAATCTCCTCTATTTTTTATTTACCTGTGCCTGTTTTAGAGTTATTAATCATGTCTTGCACTATGGACACAACCTCTTTTATCTGAGAAATTATATCTGATTTCCTTTTTTGCAGATCCTCTTTTGTTGCCAGTTCAGGAAGTCAAGGTAGTTGAGTATCAGCTTGTTCCATCTCATTGTCTCTTGGGGTTCCCTTTGGTGATCTAGAAGTCTGGTTTTGATACTTGTTTATGTGTCCTCTCATTTCAGCAGATGAAGCCTACTGTGCTTTTGTTGAGGTGACTTCTTGCTCCCCCAATGGGATTCAATTCTCAGCAAACCACAGAGAGCCCTTTACTCTGTTACCCCTGTGCCAATTCCTGGGTTCAGAATAGTGGCCTTGTGGATCTCTGTGTTGCACTGTTGTCTGGGCAGGGTTCTAGCTGGGGGCTGCACACTCTTGGGATGATATC